AATTTTGCAGCAGGAGTGGAGGTGTAGTGCTCAGAAACAGTCACAAAACGGATCGTGCTATATGCATTAGCTCTTTAGTGCTTGCTCACTCAGTGAACAGAAATGACTTCCGCAGCCTGTAAAAGAGCTGCAGCTATTGTGTAAAGAAGAGGACCCAAGGCTGGACCCAGCCAGCCCTTTAGGAGAGGCTGGCCAAGCAACAGTTCTCTCAGAAAATTGTTTCTGCTCTGGAATAAACTCTTCTGCTTGCCACCTTTGTAAAGGTCCTGCCTGCTGAGCAGCAAATCCCAGTCTACTGACATGAGTGCTGGAGCTACAGAGAAATATCTCTGGACAGTGTGGAAGGGGTAGGAGGAGTAAAGTTCTCAGAGCTCACTTGAGCTAGTAATGTTTTAAATAAAAGAGAAGTCTCTATGCAGATAGATCAAGCCTGAGAGATGAGGGATGATCCAGAGCAAAAAAGACCTGAGAGTAAGGTCACTGCAAACCCTAACTGAGCAATACCTGGTGCTCAGTGTGTATCTGTTGCCTTTTTCTGCATCATGAGGAGCTGTGAAAGATTTGACCAAGCAGTGAAGGAAAGGTGGCTTCCAGGGTAAAAGGCTAAGTGCTGAAACCTGGAGATCATAGGTTTTTCAGAGTTAAGTGGAAAGTTCTGTACACACACCTCAAGGTCAGCTCACTCAGGTCTTCTCAGACAAACAAATCCTACTGCTTTGTAACAAAGCAGGGTAAGGGAGAATTTCCCAAAGACATCACTTCAAAGGGAGATTATTTAAAGGATTTATGCATCCTTTGTCTCACAAGTTTTATCAAATCAATTACCTTATCGTCAAGGAGTGCACATTGCAGCAAACGTGATTTCACTTTCTATTGTCTCGTTTGTATGTCAAGAAACAGACCCTGGCTCCTTCTTAAATTACAGGCTGCATACCCAGTTTTGTTCTTCCCTTCACCTGCTACACACAGGCTTGTGCTAGCACTATCTTTAACTGTGTTTCCGACTGTCCCCAGGTCAAAAACGTTTCCAGGCAATTCTTGAAGACAAGGATCAGCCAGCAACGCCTAGCCCAGCAGGAACTCTGAGAAGAATGTGGTGACCCCACGCTTAGCTACTACAGCATTAAACAAATAGGTAGAAAGGAAAACTCAGCTTAAAAGAATGAAGGGAGATATAACTCACAGGCATGCCTTACCCTGAGAGCAGTCAAGGCCAAAGAAGCCATCGTGGCAGTAGCACTCTCCTGTGTCACAGAACCCATTGCCACTGCAGTCCCCAGGACATCGTTTCTCACTGCAGTCCTCCCCAGTGAACTCCTCATAGCACTGGCAGACCCCTTTGGCTGTGTCGCAGATCCCATTGCTGCTGCAGTTCTCAGGGCAGAGCTGATGGCTGCAGTCCTCACTGAAGAAAGGCTCATCACAGATACACTTCCCACCATCGCAGTGCCCATGACCACTGCAGTGGCTGGGGCAGGTGGGGTGAGAGCAGTCACTGCCCTCCCAGCCCTCAGCACACTTACAGCTGCACGTCTCATAGAGGAATGTCCCATGGCCACTGCAATGTGAGACATCTGGCCAGAGCAGCACCAGAATGCACAACAGCAAGCGTGACACACAGATGAGAGAAAATAAAAAGAATAAAATTAGGAACTTAGCAACAGACAGGTAGTGCAAAAGTGTGCTCAAGGTCATTAAAGGGAAAGCATAAATATCATCAGAAAATATGGGCTGAAAAAGACCTGAGGACATCACCATGTCCATCTGCCCCAGGTCCAAAGAGGGACCAGTTCCACTCTTGCCTTTCCCAACACATTTGTCCATAGCTGGCATGAATGCACATTCTATGACTGCTCCAGAAAGTCAATTTGAAAGCTTTTCACAACCTCTGACCTCGATCTTCCTAGTTGTAATTTAAGCTCATCATTTCTCACTACAGTTATAAAGATGTAGAGCACATTATTCTCATCTGCTATACACCTGTATTTTTCATGTAAGCAAAGACTTAATACTTCTCCCTGTCTCCATTCCCCAAACAACATTAGTTTGTTAAATCTTTTCTTTGAGACCATGTGGTATAAAACTTTGATCACAGACAGAGCCAGTGGCCACCACAAAAATCATCAAAAACTCTGATCTTCTTTCAGTCAGTTATCAAAGAGGAAATAAACAGACAAATTCTCAACTGCAAAATTACGAACGCAAAAGTGAGAAAGGAAAAGACAGCACAAGCAGTGCTTCCTTCATCCTCCACCCTCATGTCCTCCAGAAATACATCCACTGATCCTCCCACCTCTGTAAAACTCAGGAACCTGCTCCCTTCCACTTCTGGGAGATAACTGGGGAGATTTCCCCTGCACTGGTTTCAGAAATTGTATGTACTACCACATTTTGGGACCTTCGGGTCTGCTTTCACATCAGAGAAATCAGAGCACCTTGACATCTGTAGGACTAGGACATTTCACTCACAGAGAACCTCCAATAACTGTAACAAATGCATTCCAGTCCCCAAATCTCTGCAGTAAATAGTCTGTTCCTAGGATGTATGAACAGATACTGGAATTCTTACTTACCTCGGCTTCCCCCACAGCACCTCTCAGGGCTGCAAACATTTCTCAGCTCTGCCATTTCTTTCTCAAGCTTCTCTATCCTTTCAAGCAGACCTTTAACATGGGTCAAAGTTTCACAGTCCCCTTTGGGTGCATGCACATGGATGTTGTGCCTAAAGATTATATTCTGCTCTTCATTTTCCTCAGCCTCTCCAGGATATAGCTGCACCCCACTGTTGTCTTCATACTGGAATGGATCTGCCTCCACCTTAATCTGTGAGGATGTGGGCAGGTTAATCTTGTAGGTGTGGCTGAATGATGTTCTTTGACCATCGCTGGTGCAGTTGTGAGATGCAGTATGTTGAATAGCAGATGTCTGAAGGGCACAGCACAGCAATATCCCCACTGGAAAGGCAAGCCAGCTCTGGAAATCCATCTGGCAGGTTCTCAGAGGGAGCACTGAATCATTAAACAGCACAGATGTGTTCTAAGTTGGTAAGTACCTGGAAAAGAGTCACATCGGATGAATTAGATACAAAAGAACTCCTATACTCCCCCCCAAACTAGGAGCTTTAAGTTTGCAAATTTCAAGTAAGACTTAGTATCATGGTCCACCACAATTATTAATTATGCCATAGTACTTCTTATTCCCCTGCAGTTACAATGGATATCATATCAGTCTCCCAGCTGTGAACTGGATTACTGATCATCATTTTGGCCACGGCAATCTCCAGCAGTTAGTATGGTTTTCATGCAGAAGCATGATATCTGTGCTGATACTGTGCATACGAAAATTCAGAGCTGACACTGATCTTTGAGTAGATGTTTGGGAGACAGCTTTGCTCACTTTACATGCAGCACACCGTGAGATACCTTTCCCAGTACAGGTGCACTTCAGGCACAGGTGGAAACATTTTCAGAAATGTGTTGAAGTGGATGCCAAGAGTCAATTTCTACAGGAACTGTAACTGTAGAATGTGTTCTCAAGGAGGGGGATCAGCTAAGAGAAGTGGACCACAGAACAGGCGTCACTGGAATAGACACATCTGCATACAGCTGGAGAACAACTCACACACGTCCACAGCACGCTATTAAACATCCCTTTCCTTCTATCACTCACAACCTGAGGTTCTGTAAGTGCACCTCATGTGCTGACCTCACCAAGTGTCAGCCCCAGCCTCAGAGTCCCCATCTCTGCCTCTACCTACCAGACTTAGAGCAGGGCCAAGCTTCTGTGGAGCTGAAGACATCTGCTCTGTAGAGGCAGAACCATGATCCTCACCTGGCTTCACATGTAGGTTCCATCTCACATCTTCAAGGTCAGGTTGGATGGGGCTTTGAGCACCCTGATCTAGTGGAAGATGTCTGTGGCAGGGGGTTGGAACTAGATGATCTCTAAGGCCCCTTCCAACCCTAACCATTCCGTCAGCCTATGAAAACCCCCACTTTGGGTACTACAGTCCTGACAGAGCTGAACCAGCTGCCTTCAGCTTCAAGGCTGGATGTAAATGACTTAAAATTTACTACACCACTTCAAAAAGGCCATTTAGATTTTAATTACCAAGTTTTCACCACTGGACTCAAAACGATACATAAAATTTAGTTCCAGAGAGGAGC